TTGGGGATCATTAGAGGCATCAGATCTTCCACAGAGCATGCGATGAAATATTGACGCAATAGGGTCTATGACTGGTCTGTGAGAAGAGGAAAAATGAAAATGAGAAAAGTGCTTAAAGCGAGAGGAGTCAGAAGTCTTGGAATAGTATACTAAAACAGTAACTTACCTCAAAAATCTGGGAAAAATGTGGAGAAAGCAAAGTCGTCACTTGGGTCACCCTTAAGTTTTGTCTCTACTCTCCTCTGCCAGTACCTAAGGTAAATCCAGCTAATGTACGTCCCAAATATTACAGTGGGAAGATATGATACTGCCTCCAGTGTCCAGAAGCTCAAAGCAATCGAAAGAAGTAAAGCAATGGATGGTAACCACTGAAAAAGGTTTAAAAGTGGTGTCATTCAGGTTACAGGATAGACTTCATCCTTCTAAAAAGTAACAGATTAGAGACAAGAGGGAAAGAGTATCAGACCTTCACTTTTATCTTAAGGAGAGGCAGTTCTTGATCCGGCATCATCTGCTTGATGCCAACCAAGAAGCCAGAAAGAACTCCATGAAATCCAGAAAATGGCATATACCTAGAAAAATGTGAAAGAAGGAAAATCAAAAGTTGCTGCCAGAACAAGTGCAAAATGTCAAAAAGAACCATATCATACAAGGCAAAAAGATAACAAAGAAACAAATCGACAATCCAGAATTAACAAAAGTAGCATAGTTTTTTTTAAAAGCTTAACATATGATTAAGCCTAAAAGCACTGGACTAGTAAATTTTCCCAAATATTAAGAAAGGATGCAAGCGATCAAGCTGCCTTTATTTACCACAGCATGACAAAATGTAGTGCAATTTCAATGTGCTGAAAGACCTAACAACTAATTGGAAGATAAGTCTAACGAGTTTAGGGGGTGTGTTAACAGATGAGTTCCTATTATGGTGATGATCCTAGTTATCTCCCAGAATCATCCCATTTTTCCTCTGGGGATGGGGAAGTTAATTTAGCTTCCGATTGATTTGAAACACAAGATCAGGAGTTCATATAATTTCAGCCATCAGATTGTTATGAATGAAAGAAAGGAATAAAATGAATAAAGTGTATTTAACAGACAGACAGATATTTAATACACCGGAAGAAAAAAATGCACAGATTGCAGCTTAAGCAACAGACAGAAAATATCATCTCAGATGAATCTAGATTTCATACACTTACAGGTAAATTTCTTGTCTTGTAATATAGTACAAGGCAATGGCAGTGATGAAAATACACACAGAAGTCAGAAAGTTAACCACAAAAATGAACTTTAAAATTCCCTGGAACCCCATACAGGTTCAAGCAGCTTTCCAATGAAAAGGAGACCAATGGTGCTGACAATTGCCTGTAGAAATGAATTATCACCAGCATTAACTTTGAGGTGTCATATAAAGATACCGGTATAATGACAAAATGCAATTCATTCAGTACACAGGCATAATTAGAAGTAATCGTAAGTGCATACAGCATACCCCATAAATGGATTGTTCAATATAACCAGCTGAAATCAGGTTCCAGGCAAAAGGGATAGTTCTGCAAAATGTATCAAACGGAAAAGAATTGAGTCATCCAACAAACAAATTTAAATTTTCAACATTAGCAGTTTTGTCACACTTCGGACAAACGTGAAACAACCATAGTTGCCTAGAAAAAGCCATGTCTCCAACCACATCTGTATATAACATTATCAACAGAAGCAATTAAATAGAATCCAAAATTCATTCAGATATGCACCATTAAACTCAAAAACACAGAGCTTTTTTTTAAAAAAAAAACAAGAACTCCAATCATAGAGTTGAAGAATAATTATAATGATGACTGATTATATTTATTCTATCATAAGTGAGTCTCATGTTTCTTATGAGTTCAATTTATAACACTGTAATTTGGCCATTATAAAAAAATAAACAAATAGAAGAAGTTGACAATGTTAACTCTTTTATCACATCATCATTAGAAGACAATAATCGACTAAAACACTTTCAGTCAAGTATCATGTGGTAAAGCAATCCGGTTCAGAACAAAAATATCTCAACCTTCTAAAGCATTGCATTACAGCCATCTCACTACAGTCAAATTTCACTCTACCCCCCCAAATTACATTTTCCTGGACCAAAAAGGCAAAATAGAGTTTATAGAACAGTCCACTGGCCGCTTCCAGAAGGAGAAATAATTCAGTTTCAGCCTAAAAATTTGAGGAAAATTTCCCTTCCAGTAGTAAGGATCAACATCGGCTGCAGAAAAAATGACAGTCCAAACAGAGAAGCAAACAAAACTTGGCCAAGCAAAATTCAGAAACTCGACCATGCTCACCATGGAAATTTAGGATACTATTGGGAGCGTTTGAGCTTTTAGAGCATGTCAGATGCACAATGATTTCAAGTACAATGAAAAACCACACATTCCAAAGTCCACTCACTGCGAAACTGTTGAGTGGTAATCACAACAACGCAAACAAAATTTTAATTAAAAACCACAAACTTAGATGCCGCTTGAACGCAACTCAGACAGTTAATTTCGATCATTCAATAGGCAATAAGGAAAAACTGATAGCATAGATTAGATGCAAATTACAATCCAATGTACAAACTAATGCTATTTAAGTTGTTGATCCAAGACAGAAATTTGAAGCAATCCCATCATTTATTGCTGTTGATAGTCCCTCACTGATCATCACTCAGGCCGAAATTCTATACCACAAAATTTGAGCAGCACGCATTAGATCAAACCATACCTGGCGGGAATAAGGGCTAGGTAAGCAACAGCTGAAGGGAAAACCTGAATCGCAATGTGACCACCCACCAGTACCACCGCTAGGCCTTTGCACAAACGAGTAAACCCAGAAAAAAGGCTCGTGCCCTGCCGGAGTGAGAAATATCGCGAATCAAAATGCTTAGCAAACAATCACCAAAAGAAGTTGAATTCCAAGATCTGAAACGAAAGAGCTCAAAATATGAAAATCGAAGAGAGAGAGATCCGCATCGTACCCCGGAGAGAGCGGGAGTGCTCATGGCTGGTGAGGATGTGAGCGCGGATTGACGTCAGTTGCTGAGATGACAGGGATTACAGAAAATGAAGATCAGAGGGCTTTTGGGAAGCGGAAGAGAGAAGTAACGTCCACCGATGGGAGCTCGGGTTTGTCACATGATTCATTCAGCATTTCAAGTCGGTCTGAGGATCGACGATCTATGATCTCTGTCTAACGCGTCCTAATTGCCTAACGATTATTGTCCATCATGCGCGCCTGATGCACACTAATCCTGGCTGTTGAATCTGTAAAACTAATCTGGAGAATCATAAAAGGAAAACGACATCGTTGCTATGATGCATCCTGGCCGTTAAAATTTTTTTTCTAACCGTGGCCATAGATCCCTAATAAATTAATTTTTCCCCCTCAACATTGATATCTTTTCTTAACACTAAATGTGATCACCTGTCTCATAAAAAATTGAAAGTCGATTCACTAAGTTGTGAAACGCTAACCTCTACTAAATCATATATACACTCGTTATTTACCGATACAAAAAGTTTTCCCCTAATTTGAAAATATATATAAACTTCACTTGGAACTAAGCTGTACCTCATCCAAGCCTATCGACAACTAATTATTCAATTATGACAATTGATTTCAGTTTAATCGAATGGAAAAAGCTGGCTTTTCTGCTTGATATGGTATTTCCAAAATAAAAAATATTAATTGCCATCAGAGTCTTAGATATTCAGGTCATGATATTTTGATTATTGTGAAACTTCAAAATAGTATATAGACTAAAATATACATTTGGTTTTTTAGTATTTCAGTTTAACCCCTCTACTTTAAAAGTATACTTTTAGTCTTTTCATCTTAAATTATTAATCTTAAATTATGTTTTTTTATGACAATCATGATTGTTTTGAAATTAAACTTAATATGTTAATATTTAATAATGTTTTATCAACATTCAATAGTTCAATATTGTCATTTTTTATTAATAGTTTTAGGATTAGAGAACTAAAAGTTTACTTTTAATGTTAATAGACTAAAATAAAATATTGTATAAAGTTAAAAGACTAAAAGTATATTCTAATATAATATATATTGTGAAAAGTTAGAAACTTTCATTTTTAAATTTTTAATAGAAAATAAATTATCGATCCAGTTTTTAGTTCTATTGGGTCAGTTGACCAATTTACCTAATTTGATATTCAATGGATATATGAACTTTTTATTTTACAATATATATACATAATTTTTTTTGGCCAGAAATATACATGATGGCTTTAATTTATAGAAAATAAAATACTCCTCCGGTCCTTATTATAAGACCCCATTTGACTTTTTATTTGGTCCTAATTATATGACCCCAATCCATTTTGTCTCTTATATTTATGCATTTTTTTCCAAGATAATCCTTCTAATAATGATAGTTTTAGTCAATATACTTAATTAGCAAGGATATTTTAGGAATGACAACACTTATTTATTATAAATAACCAACTTAACTTACTTCCTTAATTTTCTCAATAAGTTAATTGTGTCTTATAATTAGGACCGGAGGAGTAAATAAGTTTCTTTATTTATGAGAAATTTTTTTAATTTTTTTGTACATGATGTATATTTATTTTTTTAATGATATTAATTATTTTTTAAAATTTTTCTGCAATATTGTTTTATGAAAGCACACAATTAAAGGAGAAGAATCGTAATAATTAAAACAAATTTGATATTTCATATGATATTGGCAAAAAAAAAAAAAATCATATGATAATATCTACAAGTAATAAAATACATAGCCAATGTCACAAAATATAAATACACACATACAATGCATTTTTGTGTAACTAATATGCATAATTTCCTATCCCTTCGATTGTCCAACACCTTTGTTTTTTTTTTTTTTTCTTCTTTCGGACCAGCTTCCAACACCTTTGTTGGAAGTATTGGAAGAAGAGGGATTTATGTTGTTAGGTATTAAAAAATGGAGATAGAAATGTGCAAAGTTAAGGGAAAATTGTTAGTTTTAATAAAATCAAATTGCATAGTACATCAAGATGCCAAATATAACTGCCACTCTCTTGCATTACAACTTTTTTAGTACCCTATACAAATATCTACATTGCTCTTCTTTCTTATTAGGTGAGTGTCCATCTTCCATAGCTTGAACAATATCCAATCAATTCTTAGCAGGTGAAAGTCCATCTTCTATAGCTTCAACAATGACAGCCATTACCTGCAATGATAATTCAGAATCAAGTAATTCAGTCATTCAATCCAACAAGTTCTTTATTTATTTATTTATTTTTCCATATAATCAACTCAAACAAAATATACCTAGGGAGAGTTTATCTCACATATCTCTCATGCTTGCTCCCCCATATAAAGATGCTTCACTATCAGTCTTAAAGAGTTTGATTTCTTTTTGTTCAATCCAGCAAGTTAAGTGCCTGCTTTTCTTACTATGATGGCTGAGATGGAAGCAAGTTCTGATTATACTCCTCCGGTCCTAAATGTAAGACCCTTATACTAGTGTGTATAAGGGTCTTACATTTAGGACTGGAAGAGTAGCAATTTTGAATTGTACGATGTGATAACTGACTTTAGCTCCTTCAATATGACAACAAGATCTGTTTCCTTCAAAATGGAAACATGTTTTGTTTAATATATAGTTAGTTCAATATGGCCATGGCATCTCTCGATTGCTGTAGCTAATTTCTTCAGTATTATGACACAGATCAGGTATATTCTGCCAAATTTAGTTAGTCCAAATATTTTATATCACTTGTGTCTCAAAACAACCAAGCATCTTTTGCAGACACTCAACAACATCTTTACCTCAAAAAGTTTCAAGTTCGAATGTTTGGCTAAAACGTCCAGGGCAGCAGGTATTGGCATACCCCTACAAAGACACAAAACTTCAGCATAGGTGATTGGTTCCCATATTCAAATCTCAAATGTAACTAATTAAAGAATTAGACAGAGGTTGGAATATAGTTATCAGGTTTTTCATTAGGATTATACATGTGCAGAAACTTTTCTAAAGGTCAGTAATGTAGGGATCGTGCATACTTATAACTTCCATCGGAGAGATTGACGGGAAACCTAATGATAATGCAAGTCCTCGAGCTTTTTTCCCCCCAAAACAGATCGGCATATTCTATCAGCACTAACCTTTATGCAGAAGATCATAACATTTGTCTATAAAATACTACCAAATTAAATGTACCAAAAGTTAAACCAATCGAAGTCATATATGTGCAGCATGAAGGAAAAAACAGGGAAAATCATTTGAGCAAATAAGCACTCAATAGTCAAAGAATGAGGAAGGGAGTGATGGAGAAGAATGACGAAGATACAGAGGAAGAGGTGTAATATAGATTACCTAACCATGGGGAACCGCGGAGCTTCCTGTCTGCGTGGGAAATCCCTGTTCCGAAGGGTTGGCCGTGATAGGATGTGGCAGAACGTGAAATCGGCTGGGCGAGGTCAGAATTTAAAAGCTTCATGAGGCTTTTTGTGAGCTCTCAGATCAACCGGACGGATAGAATTTAAATTTTCCGAGGGACAATGAGAAAAAGGCCGCTGAGAGGATCCAGACCCGAACCTCCCTCCTCTTCGACAGGACCCTTTTCTCTTTCCGCTCTGAAGCTCCGCCGACGCATTCGCCTGGCGCTTTTGATTACGCACATCGCTTGCCCAGTCCGACGAATCCTTCTCAGTGAGAGTTCGTGGTGGGTAAGTTGCAATTTGTGGCCTTCTCTTCTTTTCTTTTTGATAGCACAAGAAGCTATTTTATCCCCGCATCTACGTCTTTCTGGGGACTCTCTTATTATCGGTGAAGCTTGAGCTCTGAAGACTACGTTTCTCGACGATCCTGTTATCATCGTGTTTTGCTTCGATTTGTGGCATGATGCTTCCCATGAGCATCAGATGCAATACTTGTGGGAATTATATCTATAGAGGCACCAAGTTTAACTCTCGAAAGGAAGATGTGATAGGCGAGATGTACCTGGGAATTTAAATATTCAGGTTTTACTTTAAATGCACTAAGTGCTCAGCTGAGCTGACGACCAAGACCGATCCGCAAAATTCTGATTATGTTGTGGAATGTGGGGCAACGAGGAATTTTGAACCCTGTCGTGCATAGGATGAAGATGAAGTAAAGGTGAAACAGAAGAGGGAAGCTGAAGAGATGGGAGATGCCATGAAATCCCTAGAAAATAGAACTTTGGACTCTAAAAGGGAGATGGACATCCTAGCAGCCCTTGATGAGATGAAGTCTATGAAGTCGGGGCATGCCACTGTCTGTGTTGATGCAATGCTGGAGGCCTTGCAACGCACAGCAGCTGACAAGGAGAAACAGCTGGAAGAAGAGGACGAAGCACTGATAAAATCAGAGTTTTCTCAAGCAAATCAAAAGAACGTGGCAAGAATGCGGGATGAAGATTTAGAAACTGATCGTTTTATTGTTAAGCCTTCAATGGGTTGGTGAAACATCTGACGATCATATCAAGAGAAGTAGAATGTCTGAAGAGCTTCCAAGCATAGCAACTGAAGCTCTGACAAAAGCTAATTTGGATAATTCTGGCAACCCAGAAATTCGTAAGGTTCGGGGACTTTTGGGGAGCAAAACCTTTTCATCCTTTCGTGAAGATCAACGTTGTCAAGAAAGCAGCCGAGCCCAAAATTAGCACAACCAGTGGACTTCAATTCCTATGTCAAAGCTACAACAGGGATGATGATTAGTTTTAGTGTGTCATAGAAAGAATTTCCGTTTATTTCTTTTCTTCTTGTTTTTTTTCCAAATAGGACTTGCTCCAATTCAATTGCGACCATAGTTTAACCATGGATGCATAGTTAATGAAAGATCGGAATTGCAACTTTGTTTGTAATGGTAGTGGGAATCTGACACAACCGAGAAATTCTTGTATATGCCCTTTTTGATTTGATTGTTTTAATATTTATTTTTGTATAATACGAAACAAAGTGAGTCACACAGTAAATAAACGTTTTTAGAAGATTTCACACCATAAACAAACACCACACTCAAGTGGTTTGAGGCACTTAGACGTTGACCAAGTAAATACAATTTTCAAAGAGGCTCTTCAAATAACAGTTCAAAATTTACTCTTAAAAAATAAATAAAAGAACAGCTCGAATTTTCCCATCAAAGGACCGTATTAATTATCAGCCCCAAAATACAAATAGACAAATAGGAAGTGGTCAGTTGGTAGTAACAAGTAAAAGTAACCCGCGTTGAGTTATGGGCTATGAGAAACAATTGACAATTACTGTAGCCCACCACATACCATATTAATAGTCAAAAGGTGGAGTCTCCGTGCTATGAATTTACAAATTTACATGAAGCTGTACATAATTGTCGAGCAAGTAGCTCAGGACTGCAGCAAAATCAATCCGTATTGTGCAACACTTCTCCATATTAAACATCAACAGTAACTAAGAAGAGTATTGTATTATCAAGACTTCCTCTCTTTTTTATTAAAAACTTTTTCCAAGTGTCAACTATATCATCCTATGTAACTATTTCACCTGCCTGACTTCAATATGGCCCTACTGCATTATCAGCGAATTAGAAGCCTTCATATTTTATATCCATTGCACAATAATGAGTTCCTTCCATGGAGAAAACCAAGAAAATTTTGACAATATCATGCCCTCACTGCATATCTCTTTGGAGCATCAAATATTGGCTGCAAATAAGCTTCAGCGAGACACACTATAACCCGATGGCAAGCCAAAGCAGAAGATGTAACAGTGACAATAGCGCAAGCCCAACAAAACCTCAGCATCAATATGGGATCTTTACTCGCAGATTTTAGTGCCTTGGAGAATATTACTTTAAGTCGCCGATCTTTAAAGATGGTAATATAATCGTATGCAGGCAAGGATGATCTAGCAGGTAAACCTGATTCCATGATGCTAGGTCCATTCGCCAATATTGCCTGGTAATACCGAGACACTCTGATTCCCTGTCCGAAGTATTTAATTACTCTCTGGCACATTACGTCAGCTATGATGTCACGAAGGTGTTGGCGAAAAGGTTTTGCCTCCTTGGACAACATTGCTTTGATTAATGATGCTCCATCCTGTTCATTCAATGAAAAGTAAGTCTGTTACCCAGTGCAGATTGTTTGAACCACGTAAACAACACCCATCACGCATAAGCACACTGCCTGCATACTCTGTATTTCCATTAAGAACATACAAAATCACCCAAACTAATCATGCAAGATTTAGTACAACAAGTGGACTCATTAACAGCTGAATTTTTGTTCAATTTTATATTTGATGCTAGGTTTAATCCATTGAAAAACTCAGGCAAGAAAGGAACCAAAAGAAACAAACTCTCATCCTCTTCAAACTAGCATGCACTGTAATCAAACAAATGTAGCAAGTAAACATATGTACATTACTAATCTACGATAAAGCAGATTCCACATTGAAATATTAACAAACTAGAATACACATCCCCAATAAGAATAGCGGCAAATATTTAAGCGTACGTGATAAACAGATCTTAGCAACTCACAGCAGTCATAAGAAGCCTTCTGAGCACAACACCATCTTTGGATGGTAAAAGCCTCATGACCAAGTTTGCAATATCAAATACTGGTACACCACCAGTCTTATTTGGTAACTGGTCAAGGGAAGTCTCATTTTTTGATCCCACTGATTGTAAGGCTTTCCTGGACAAAAAGAAAAGCATCAGAATGAAGAAAATGCTCTATCCATCAAATAATTGGAGCATTCTAAAACAGGCCGCCATGAGTCCATTAATTAGATGAGGAACGCTGCACCTCCTTCTCTACTTTTTCTCTTTTTTTAAAGTTGAGAATGCTTCCTGGACACCTTGAGTATATGCCAAATTTAAAACACATTGCTACCATGTGCTGAGTTTTCAGATTAGACCAAGAGAGGAAGGAAGAGTATACTTTGAGTGTTTTTTTTTTTTTTTGGCCCCCTGGGGGGGGGGTTGTTCTCCGCTAATAGCCCTCCTATAACTTATTCCACAACAGAAAATCTTAATTCTGAAAATATTTAATGGTACAAATTGAATCATGGTAGGAGTACTATGGCATGCATCGAAGAAGGTTTCTTCAATTTTGAGTTTTTATTGGAGATCCTGACGATAGCATACACCCAAGGTTTATTCCTTTGAAAGTCATGTCATATATGCCCAGATTTCATACCAACACTTACTTCCATCTATAGCAGTAACCCAAGATGCATGTTGTCAAACCCCCCCCCCCCAAAAAAAAGGATACACTAATACCAAAAACAAAAAATTTTAAAGCACTAATTAGAAAATAACCCATCCCAACTTCAACCCATTTAATAATGCCTGATCAAGCCCTTCCTGTTTCATTTTTCTTACCCCCAGCCCATTACGCCAAATCAAGCACAATGAAAAGAAGCCAATAGTGAGTCATATCAACATGTGTATTCGTATTATTACAAGTTGTACTTGTCCTTTATTCTCAATCAATTAAGTCTGAAACAGAGGACTATGTCTTTTATTATATAATAATTTACACATTTAAAACCAAAACGGAGGAAAAAGGATCATTATGTGGAAAATTGTTATAACATTGCAGAGTTAGCATCAAAATTGAAATATAAACGTTTGAGTAGTACAAATAAGGCCCAAAAACTTCATAATGAACAATCCATGACATAATGATTTCATTTAACTCCCAACATACCTGGTTGCACCTACCCTCAAGAAAAGGGAAAGCCTTTGCCAGAGGAACTCTTTCTTTCTGTTTAGTAGCACCTAAACAGGAGATAAAGAAGTTGAGGGAAGAGAAATCAAATAGAAAATTTGAAAGTAAATACTAGGAGATCTTAACGTTGTAAGAAATATTAACCAAAAACAGCATTCAATACACACAACGGTAGACTACGATACATGAATCCATCAGGACCTTTGAAATACTGTTAAATAAAAATTTTAAATGAAGCACAGCCTGCAAACTCTTACGGTTAAGATTTTCAATTTCTAAGTCATTGAGATGGGAAAATTACCCTAATTCATACAAAGGTATGGTTAAACCAAGATTCATATATCAAAATAGAACTTTGAATTCTCAGCTTATTTATCAAAAACGCTCAGCCACAACGGAATGATAAAATGTTATGGTACAGCAGATTAATGAAACAGAACGCATGTTTATGAGACTCCTTATACCGAATGCAATATATTCCTTGATGCTACTGAGTTTTCTGTGAGAAGTTTTTCGAACAACAAAAGGATATGCAGCTTCAAAGGTCTTAAAGTTTGGGTCTGCAGCTATAGCCAAACCTGAATGTTCAAAAGCAAAATTTAAGTTGACAAAAAGAAAATGAAACAAGAATATTGATAATTCAATAAAACACTATATATTACTAGATGTTTATACATGCATTACAAAGAACTACTCATAAGCATCAGTGTGATGACAGATGTGTGACCCATAGTCATGTATATAGGATCTTCACACTTTACCTTCGAACGAAGCGAGGGAGCGCAAGACAAGTGTATAGTATGGTGGCATACGGAAATGATACTTCAGTGCTACGGACCAGATCTTTCCTAAAACCTTCAGGAAAATTTACTGTGAGATATCAGTGACTGAAGAGAAGAAACCCTATTGAACACCTCAACAAAATGACTAAAGCTAATTTGCTCAAATATGAATTGTTAGACAAATATAGCTCATAAATATATATGCAGTAGGAAGCTCTAAAATTGGTTTTGTTATCATGAAACAATTTTCAGCGTCAATATTAACAATGGC